GCCCGGGCCGGGGTCCGCCACCTGCTTCGTGGCGCGGGTTGAGGTCTTGCACCCGGTGTCACGCTCGCAGCCCGTGGTCGCTGGACCTGGCTCCGCGGCGATCCCGGGCCACCTCTGTCACTTCTTTGGAGCTGTGCTATCTCCACCTCACCGAGTGCGCCTCATCTGCTGTCTTTTCTCCCTATACCACAGTGTGGAAGAAAACCCGCTTCTCACACTGGACTCAAGCTGTTCTTACAAACCAAATTAAGGACAAGTGTCTTTGACCAAATGAGCCTCACGGTGCTGTGAACAGGCTGGAACTGGGGGTTACAGCCTTGGGCTCTGCAGGATCTGAGGAAGAAGGCTCTCCCCTGTAAATGTCCCTCCCTGGTTTTCAGAAGAACCTTATAATGCAGCTTTTCACCCTACCCACAGAACCAGGAGTCTCCACCTGTGGTACAGATTTTTCTAAAAGAATGAGCATACATTTCCCAGTCGGTTAGACCATGGGTTGGAAGGACATCAGGGATCCTTTGCTGGCAAACTAGATTGGAGTCAATAAACATGTCTTGGAATCATCTTCCATGCCTTCCTAAGCCCCACACCTGCCCATGAGTTCACCTGCCCTTACCCCTGGCACCCTTACTTGTCTGATAGGAAGAGCCTTCTGGGCCCTGGGGCTGATTGGCAGCTGGAGTGTTGTCTCCCCCCACCCCGCCCACATCTCCATCCTTCATCTGCCTTGGTTTTCATTTTCCCCAGGTCCTAGGTGCATACACCTTCAACAGGTATTGGGATGATGGCAGCCCTAGGGGACATTGAGGAGTCCCCACCTGTCCCATTCCCCTCCAGTCTTTCGTCACCTGGAGCACCTGGAGCCCAGCATCACGCAGCACAACTTCATCTCCATAGGCATCCACACGGTACTTGCCTAGCCTACTGTGTTCCCCTTGCCCTGTCTGCACCCCATGGAGCCTCATCTGGTCCACAGCCCCAACCCACCTGAGAGGCACAACCAGACACTTGTGCAACTCGTTAGGTGCTGGAGCCTCTGGGCAGAGCCCCTAGGGATGCTCAGCCTAGGACTTTGCTTAGTGGGGGATGGGGTGGCAAGTGTGCTTCCTAGGGGCCAGCCCCTGGACTGTTTGTTCCTTGTATAACCAGGAATGAGTCCTCCTCTCCGAAGCTATGTTCCCAGGCCAAGAAAAGTGTCTAGTGTTCCTGCCAGGCTAGTTTGGGTGTGGTGCCCAGGGAACCTGCCAGGTGGGAACCACTGGCCTTATTCCACCCTGATGGTGTGGCCTCATTGGTCACTTAATGGATCAAGGCTTGGGGGAAATACCAGCCCTGTTGTACCCCTGGGGCCCCTGGCTCTCAGAAGTCAGGGAGTCCTGAAGCTTTGCTCCTTTGTTACATAGGAGACCTCGCTGCTTTCATGAACTATTGACACAAGGACAGGGTCCCAAAAGGACATGTACTAGCGGCCTGCACTGTTGTTGTAGAGAGTGCTTTGCCCAAAAGCTGGGCCCGTCCTGTGCCAGGGTCTTGCTTGGCAGATCCTGGTATTCCTATGCCTGGGGTAGTGGCTACTGGAACTATGGAGAGTGGCTACCCTCTGTACCAGGCACAGTGTTTTGACTTCCTTGGCCTTCAAGTCCAAATGGACATCACAGATAAGGACAGAGGTTACACACAGCTAAGGAATCACTGGGTTCATTGCAGGTCAGACCAAAACCAGAAAGTGAAGCCCCAAGCCTGTCCTGTCTGCTGCCTTGCCCCAAGACACCTCCACCCCTGCCCATCCCTGGGTGAATGCTGGAAAGGGGCTTGCTAAAGAAGCCCAGTGGGGTCGGGTCCCAGTGTGCCAGGCTAGAGGTCAAGAGGCTGCCCAGAAGGAGCCCAGATACCACCTGCATTTCGCTGTCTGCTAAGCCCTATGTGCTCACCTCCCTGGTGGCTTCCAGTCCTTTTCTGGGACCCAGACTTTGCCCCCAGGGATTGCTCCCCCACCTAACTCAGTCAGAATTCTGCTGGCCTGCACCTTCTTATGTCACCCTCACAGCAGCCTGGTGAGATAGGTCACCCTGTCCTACTGGCAACAGGAACATGAAGGGGCAAGGGTAGTCTGGGATGAGATGTGTGGTTGCTGGTTAGAGAGATTGCAGCAAAGACCTGGAGGGACCCCTCACCCAGATAAGCAGGTAGCCTTTGCTGATTCCTGGTCAAGAAGGGTAGGGCCACCTTTCAGAGCCCCAAGCTCACCTCCTCTGCAAGCTGGTTCCTTAACAAAGAAGACCCCAGCATTAGCATTACTGGAACTTGCCCAAAGTTCCCTCACCAGCTGGGGGCCAATGAAGGGACTTCTTAGAGCCTCAGCCTCCCTACTCCCAGGCCAAAGTCTGAGATAGCCAGAAGGAGGTTCTAGGGAGTCCTACCCAGGGTACCTGTGTGTGTACCAGCAATCTGCACAGCCCGCATTACACACACACACACACACACACAGATACAGAATCATTTCAGGAACCTCTTCGCACACACGCACAGATACAGAATCATTTCAGGAACCTCTTCAGCTGAGTACCTGGTGTCCTTGTAGTAGGAGCCATCTTTCAACTGGGAGGGGAATGAAGGACACAGGAAACCAAATGAGTCAAGGGTGCTTAGCAATCCCTGTGGCCATAAGACTGGTGTCCTGCAGCAGAGTCTGGACCTTCCAGGGCAGGGAGGCTGGTGGTGGTGGGTACAGAGACAAGCAGAACATAGGCCCTCTTCTTGTAGGACCCCTCTGGCCCTGCAGATACACAGATCAGAAGCCATTGGGGCTGGGGACTTGGCTCAGTGTTTGCTCCACCTGCCTCACAAGCACAAAGGCCCAAGTTCTATCCCTGGTACCAAAAAAAAAGAAACAATGGCCATGGAGTGTTGTGGGCGTGGCACAGCTCCTCTGGAACTGTGTAGTAACCTGAAAGGGGCAGTGAAGTACAGCACGGCCCATTGTCCAGTCTTGGAGGAGGTGAGGGACCACAGGCAGTGTGAAAGATGATGAGGTAGGAAGGAGACCAAGCCAAAGTTCACCAAGATAATGTCCAACACAGTGAGCAGAGCACCTGCCTAAGGCTGCCCAGTCTTTGTTTGCATAAGACCTGAGGGAGGATGGGCTCTCAAAGCTGGGTCCTCAGGAGGTCTTCCTGGGGGCAGCTCTTATATGAGCTGGAGAGGAAAATGAAAAATGCTCCTGGCCAAGGACTCCAGAAGAGCAGGAGCAAGTAGAGTTGTACAGCTATTCTGGAGCAAGAGGAGCTGCCAGGCAGGTAAGGTATGCTGTATGTTGAGGGCTTTGCCCAGAAGTCCCCGGAAGAGCAGGGCTGGTTCTAGAGAGGGGAGTGGAGGAAGTTTGTGAAGGATGGGGCATGAACCACAGCCCCCTGTCCCCAGGGTCCTCCTATTCCAGTCCTGAGGTGCACTTCCGGCCATCAGACCTGGACCTCCAGGATGTAAAGGAAGTGGAGATCGGCCAGGACACATGGCCCGGTAAGTCAACTGGGCTCACCTGGGCATCTGCAGAGCCTTTGCCTGGATTCAGCACTGATTATTCTTCTCAGAGCTGCTTAGCCAGGCTCTGGACACCTGTTGGGGTGGTGGGGGTAAGCAGACTGCTGGCCTCCCCCAGTGCTACCCAGGCCCCTTCAGGTCCCTGGCTGCGGTGCACATCTGCCCCCAGTAGGGTCCTGGTAGACAAGGGAGTAGGGCTCCAGTTCTCTTGCCACCAAGGCCAGATCCATGGAGCAGACATGGGCCCCTGGGCTCCCTCCCCACACCCTCAGCCTGCAGGACCACTTTTGAGAGCCTTTGCAATTTCAGATCCTTGCTAGCCCTCTCTGTTAACCCTGGAACTTCCTTCTCCCAGCTAAGAAGGTAATACCACAGGTCTCCTTAACTGCCGTGTCTCCAGTGTCCAGTGGGACCCAGCACACAGGCTCAGACTGCCAGCTGCTGGAAATGGGGTGAGGGGGGCTGCTCCCCATCTTCTGGGACCATTCATCCAAGCCATTGCCTGGCATCCCTTTCCTCCTGCCCAAGTCCCAGTCAGGCTTGGCCCCTGCTCTGCCATCACATAGTCCTCGTTCCCAGAGTGCCACAGTAGAACTAGGAGACAGGTGCCATCTGTGTCTGCCCTTTCTCCTTTCAGACTCTGAGTTGGAGCCAGAGCAGGTTCCATCATCTCACCACCTCCACAGTCCGGAAGACAGGGTAGACCAGGATGGACAAGTGTTGAGGGGCTTCCTGGGGAGCCGCCCCCACAGGCCCAAGTGTGACAGCAGCTTTGGGCAGGATCTCAGCTTGCAGTCCCCGAGGGCCCTGCCCTGCCCTCAGGAGAGGGGCTCCTGCCGCGTGGTGCTCTTGCCACAGGGAGCCCCAGGGACCGAGGGTGCCCCTGGCCAGGCTGCAGAGCTGGGGGACAGTTTGGGGTGTGGTCCCCGGCAGGCCAGCCCACGGTGTGCCAAGCCACATCACTGCGAGGCCTGCGGCAAGAGCTTCAAGTATAACTCGCTGCTGCTGAAGCACCAGCGCATTCACACAGGTGAGAAGCCCTACGCCTGCCACGAGTGCGGCAAGCGTTTCCGCGGCTGGTCTGGCTTCATCCAGCACCATCGAATCCACACGGGCGAGAAGCCCTACGAATGTGGCCAGTGCGGCCGTGCCTTCAGCCACAGCTCGCACTTCACACAGCACCTGCGCATCCACAACGGTGAGAAACCCTACAAGTGTGGCGAGTGCGGCCAGGCTTTCAGCCAGAGCTCCAACCTGGTGCGCCACCAGCGGCTGCACACGGGCGAGAAGCCATACGCCTGCAGCCAGTGCGGCAAAGCCTTCATCTGGAGCTCTGTGCTCATTGAGCACCAGCGCATCCACACTGGTGAGAAGCCCTATGAGTGCGCCGACTGCGGCAAGGCCTTCCGCGGCCGCTCGCACTTCTTCCGCCACCTGCGGACCCACACAGGAGAAAAGCCCTTCGCCTGCGGAGCCTGCGGCAAGGCCTTTGGCCAGAGTTCACAACTTATCCAGCACCAGCGAGTGCACTACCGCGAGTAGCCATGGCCCCAATAAAGTCTCTGGGTGGAAAAGGAGCCGGCTCCTGCTGAGCATTGTGGCTGCTTCCCATCCCTGCAGGCCACTGCAGGATGGTTTTTCATTCTCCTAGAGTGACAGGCAGCTGGAGAATCACCAGGAAGGAGCCTAAGACCACAAGCAGAGCTGGCAGCCCAGAGTAGTCGGGCCATCCAGATCAAAGATGCTATGGGATGGAGATCCCAAGGGGACCTCCTGGAGCAGTGGGTGAGGACGAGCTTGGCTTGTCTAGAGGTGCCCGTATTCTGGGCCACACCTGCAGCCTAGCCAGACTTCCTGTGCACCCCAGCCATGGGGGTCTCTGGCATTTGAGTCCCTCACACAGTGAGTGTGCTTCCAGTACTTTCTAAGTGCCACACATTCTCCCCACACAGCCCTCGTGCCACACATTCTCCCCACACAGCCCTCAAACCTGTTTGTTCATCACCCCTGGCTTAGCAAGCTGCAAGACCAGCAGGCTTCTGTGGGAGGACCCCCCATCCAGTGTCCTCCATGCCCAGCCTTCTGAGTGTCCCTGCTCTGGAAAGCTGGGGGCCTGGGTCTAGGGCTGCATAGGGGACACAGCTCTAACCTGCCGTGGATCTGCCCTGGGAGTCCTACACGTGGCTCTCGGTCACTGTGTAGAGAAGAGCTCACCTGGGTGAGGAGAGCCAGTATTAAGTAATGGGGGCGGGGTTGCAACACTGTCCCTGTTCCAGCTCCTTCTAGGTCAGCTAGGGGGCTGCCTAGCGGCTCTTCACTCTCCAGATCTGACTTTCCTTTGGGGAGCTATGAGGTTACTAATCCTGCTGAAGCAAGTGGTCCACTCTGCAGCAGGGTCATCAGCCCCAAGCAAGCCTGTTTCTCAGAGAAGCAGCTGCTGCCCACCTGTTCTTTCCTTTAGTAACACACTTGGGGTGGGCTCTGTGGGGACTGCCACTGGGTGTCCAGGCAGGACTCGTCTGGCAGTGACTGGGCCTGGCAGGTAAACTGAGAAGAGCCAGAGGTGCTCTGCACAGTCCAGGCTGTCCTGAACTTGAGCACCCTGTTTAAGAGAAGCCAGGTACACTGCTGCTGCTCTGAGACCCCCAGCGGCTAGCACACACCAAGAGAGGCTTCCCAGAGGAGAGATTGCTAGCAAGTAAGGCAGCTCCCCTATACTGGGTTAAAACCCCCAGCAGGGTCTCTGTGTCCTCTTGTGTTGGCAGGACCCACCAAGACAGTATTTTTGTCTTCTGTGGTATGCTTGGCTCCTTCCTAGGAGCTAGCCTCAGTATGATTCTCCAGCATTCTACCCCGTCCACTGGGTCCTCCCCAGGAGCCCAGAACAGCCTGACAGTATTCATGCATGGACTCTTACAGTTTTCTTTTTCTTGGTTTTGTCCACCTAGCCTTGTCAACATCCAGCCAAACAGAACTGAGTCCCCAGGGGCAGGGCATTACAACCGCCCCATGTTCCTCCTTGTAAGGCATGCCCCTCCTCCTCCATCACTTTACATCGTAGGAAGCATCCCGCCCAGGCTGCCAGCCCTAGGCTGGCTCTGCATTGTCAACCAGAGATTCACTAGCTGGATAGCCACACTCTGACCCCACAGGCTGTGTTCTTGGTCTTTGGCCTCTCTCTTCCACAGTGACCATGATCTTTGGAGAGGTGAGTGGTTTTCAGAAGCCCAAACTTGGGCTCAGCATTTCCCTAGTCTGGCATTTATTCTTCATGGAAACTGTTTCCATCTCTGGAAAAGAGGCCAGCACAGGCCTGGTGGCTGGCATGTGGTAGTTGAAAAGATGGCCAGTATAGAACTCCTTGCATGCTACCAAGTATCATGAAAAGGGCCCCTGGAATGTCTCAGTCCACAACCCAGAGAGGTGGGAGAGGATATCTTGTGCCTCCATATCAGAAATCCACCTCTGGCCAGGTGGCCACAACAAAAGGTGAAGGATCGCTGGGTGAAAAGCTCCATGGGACCAGGAAGAGGGGTACATGTGAGTTTGAAGTTACCATTTATAACAGTGTCTGCATTTGACCCCAAAGGGAAAGAAAGGTCTTAGAAGGCACTGAGCCCTAAAGTCCAAGGCCTGCAAGAAAGGGATCTTCTAGGCCAGGGATTTAGCGCAATGGTTTCACCACCTACCTCACAAGTGCAAGGTCCCAAGTTCGATCCCTGGTTCCAAAAAAGAAAAGAAAGGGGTCTTCTGAGGCAGCCTCCAGGGACCAAGGGGATGGAAAGTGTGTGAACTGACTGAATCTTGTTCAGGGTGTTCCAGAGCATCCCAATCCTAGAGTGTGAAGACACAGTGACATAGGAAAGGTGGATGAATCCTATGTCACATAGAGTGTAATTTCTTGGTGACTTATACAACTATGGTCTTGAGCAGCAGCAAGACCAGTGGATCCCCACAATTGGGTCAGAAAAAGAGCCATATATATGGGTTAAGATAAATGTCCTATCTGAAGTATACCTGGTTTATTTTACGATAATATCAAAATCAGGTATAGCCTTGGAGCCAAGGCCTGGCTGTCACCAAATGTAATAGGTTCACCCCTTGGTGAGTATAAAACCAATAAATAGGACCAAGAGATAAAAGAATGAAGAAAGGTTTATTACAATGAGTAAGATGCTCAAAGAAGTATCTCCCCAAGCAAAGGAAATGAGGGGCTATTATTAGAGAACCATTTATATCAGAAAAAAAATAATTGCATGCTCATTCTGCTCACATGTTCAATAATGGCATAGAATTTAGTATTATAAGCAGTTTGTGACTTGGAGATTTTAGCGGGACCTTTTAAAATTGGGGGGGTCTTGGCTGAAGAAAAATAACTTTAAAGGATGTTTAACAGTCATTTAAAGGAGCAGCACCCACTCAAAGCACAGATAACTGTCCTCTGAAAATATCTACTAGGCAGCTAACAGTACCATTCCAATGATTTTCTCTGTTATAGTCTGTTGGGAAACATGCAGAAAAAATCAATAGGGTTGCTCAGGGGCATTCACAGGTGTTATGAGTCAAGATGGCTACAGTTACCTCAAGCTGAATCCATCCAGAGGGCTTTGTGTGCAGGGCCTGGGGCAGGCTGAATGTGCCTGTGGGTAAACAAAGGGCAAAATCAATCTTGGGTTTAGAATTCTCCACTGTGTCCAGGGTTTTTACTTTTACATAAATACATATGGTATGGTGCAATGGCTACAAGAATCAATTTCAGAACTTAAAGCCCAGCTCTTCTCTTAACTGTGAGATAGAAGAGTTGCTAATTGTTAATTGTTGCTCTGAATCCATTTCTTTTCTTTTCTTTTTTTTTTTTTTTTTTTTTTTTGGG